TAGATATGGCAGTGGCTAATAACGCTTGGAAGAATTTGTTCGCTTATGCTACGATTCTTCATGTGCCATCACCATGCTCGGGCCATGTGGCACTTGTTTTGAAGGGGTCAGCTGATCGAGGACCGAATGAGGGGAAGCAGCGGAGGTATGAACTTTTTTGGGAGAGGGACGGAGCCTTACCGGAGGTGATTAAGGAGGCTTGGGAGGCTGCGGGAGGTGTTCACAACATGGCACAGTTGAGAGATGCGCTAACTAAAACAATGACAGCCCTGCGTCTCTAGAGTAAAAAATTTGGTAATGTAACTCGAGAGCTAGCAAAATCTCGGTCCCAGCTAGAGGAGTTGATGTGTATGAATGCTGATCGCCAAGATATAGCTCAGGTGACGGATAAGATGAACGAGCTTTTGTATCAAGAAGAGATGCTTTGGTTGCAGCGTTCGCGTATTACGTGGCTGAAAGAAGGGGATAGAAACACAAGATATTTCCATAGTAAGGCAGTATGGAGGGCAAGAAAGAACAAGATACGTGAACTTACGGACAGCGTTGGAGTAATACACTCGGACCTTGCTGGTATGGGAGAGTTGGCGAACATGTATTTTCATGATATCTTCACGGCTGATCCAACGCTTAATGCGGCGCCTATTCTGGACCTAATAAACCAGGTGGTGACGGAAGAGGATAATACTAAGCTATGCTCTCCTTTTACTGATAAAGAGATTTCGGACGCTTTGTTTCAGATTGGTCCTCTAAAATCTCCAGGTCCAGATGGCTTTCCTGCGAGATTCTTCCAGAGGAATTGGAGTACCCTCAAGGAGGGGGTTTTGGCAGCGGTAAGGGATTTTTTAAGTACAAGGATCATGCCGGAGGGGGTGAATTCTACCTCAATTGTTCTTATCCCCAAAATTCCCAATCCAGTGAGAATCACAGACTACAGACCAATTAGTCTGTGTAATGTTATCTACAAGGTGATCTCAAAGTGCCCGGTGAATAGGATGAGGCCTTTATTGGATGATCTCATATCCCCTGAGCAGAGTGCATTCATACCAGGGAGGATGATCACGGACAATGCACTTGTTGCGTTTGAATGTATCCATCATATTAAGCAGGAGAATGATCCCACAAGGAGTTTTTGTGCGTACAAATTGGACTTATCAAAAGCATACGATCGAGTTGATTGGGTCTTTTTGAGGCAAATGATGCAAAAGCTAGGTTTCTCTCAGCGATGGGTTGACTGGATAATGTCTTGTGTCACGTCGGTGAGGTACTCTGTCAAACTTAACGGAACCTTCTTGGATTCATTTGCACTGACGCGTGGGCTTCGGCAAGGAGATCCGTTATCACCGTTTCTTTTCTTACTAGTGGCAGATGGACTTTCTGCATTACTGAGGAATAAAGTGGCCACAGGGGCCATCACGCCGGTGAAAGTGGCTAGACGAGGACCGGGAGTGTCCCACTTATTGTTTGCTGATGATACGGTGTTGTTTTTTCAAGCAACAGGTGATGAAGCACGGGAGGTCAAAGCCTTGCTAGATGTTTACAGTACGACGACAGGCCAGAGCCTAAACCCTAACAAGTGCTCTATTCTGTTTGGGGATGCTTGCCCCGTGGCGATACAGGAGGAAGTACGAGCAGTGCTTGGGATCACCAATTTGCTTTTTGAGGAACGGTACCTGGGTCTGCCGACACCGGAGGGTCGGATGTCTAGGGGCCGTTTTCAGAACCTGCAAACTCGTTTAACCAAGCGATTGATACAGTGGGGTGATGGCCTTCTTGCACAACCGGGAAGAGAAGTGTTGATTAAGTCAGTGGCACAGGCGCTACCAACATATAGCATGGGTGTGTTCAAGCTACCATTTTCCATTTGCGATGATCTCACTCACATGGTGCGGAATTTCTACTGGGGATCGGCAGAGGGGAAGAGGAAAGTACATTGGAAGAATTGGGATGATCTCATGCAGCCTAAGGAGAGGGGAGGTCTTGGCTTCCGTGATTTCAGGTTGTTTAATCAAGCATTATTAGCTCGGCAGGCGTGGAGACTTATAACCAAGCCGGATAGCCTGTGCGCTAGGGTTTTAAAAGCGAGGTATTACCCGGATGGTAAGTTGGAAGATACAGTGTTTTCTGGCAACGGTTCATCTTCATGGCAAGCTATATGCCATGGGCTGGATTTGCTAAAAAAGGGTCTACTATGGAGAGTTGGGGACGGGGCAAGCATAAGGGTTTGGCGAGATAATTGGATACCTAGACCTTACTCTTACAAACCGATCTCTCCGCAAGGGCGATGTCGCATTCGTTTTGTGTCCGGTCTTCTGAATGCTAATGGGTCATGGAATATGGAGCTGCTTCAGGCTTTCTTTGTGGAAGCAGATGTACGGGAAATCCTGAAGATCCGCGCCTCGCCTAGGGCGATGGGAGATGTTATCGCTTGGGGCCCTGGTTACCATGGCAGCTTCTCGGTTAAGTCTGCATATGAGTTGGCCTTCGATGAGGATCATCGTGATACTGCGTCCTCGTCTAGCGCTTCTCCCTCTGGTCGACGCGCCTGTTGGGACTTCATTTGGAAGTGCAGTGCTCCGCCAGCAGTTAAACACTTCGCTTGGCGGATGGCCACTGATGCCCTTCCTACCTGGAAGAAGAAACACCGGATTGGTTTGGAGACTACGAGTATTTGTCCGGTGTGTGGTGCTGAAGAGGAAGATAATTTTCATCCGTTTGTTCGATGTCAGCTAGGACGGGATCTTTTCCTGGCTATGGCTAAGGTATGGAGGATACCTGACATAACTTCTATTCTGAATAACGGAAAGGAATGGCTGCTACATGTGTTGAGTCCTCTTTCTGATCTTGAGCGCACGATGGTACTGATGATCTTTTGGAGAAGTTGGTTTGTTCGTAATGAGCTTACTCATGCGAAGCCTGCCCCGCCAATGGAAGTGTCAACACGTTTTCTGCAAAGCTACTTGGTTTCGTTGTTGGGTATAAAGCAAAACCCACAAACTGATCCGGTCAAGGGGAAAGCTTATATTGAATGGCAAGGCTCTACGAACAGGCGGAGTGATGCTGCAGTCCAAGAAGAACGAAGATGGACGAAACCAGATGAGGGTTGGTGCAAGGTTAACACCGATGGCTCTTTTGCTGTGACCGGCGAAGCTGGGGCGGGGATGATCCTGCGTGATCATCTGGGGGCCATCAACTACTCGGCTTGCAGGGTCTTGTACTCGTGCAGGGACCCCCCTGAGGCGGAACTTTGCGCATGTATGGAGGGCTTGTCTTTGGCAATTCAGCGATGTGATACGCCACTAGTGCTGGAGTTGGATTCTTCTGAAGCAGTCATGCTCATATCAAGCTCTGAGATCGACCGGTCGGTATACTCATCTATTGTCAGAGAGATTAAGCATCTGTTGGGTCTGAGGAAAACTTGTATTTCCCTTATATCTAGATCTCAAAATAAGGCTAGTGATAGTTTAGCTAGTTTTGCTAGAACCCAAGGCAGGACCATGACTTGGTTAGGAGCGGGTCCAGTTGAAGTTTTGGAAATAGCTACCGATGATTGTAAGGATCCTGTGATTGATTAATTAAGTGCTATTTTCACCCGAAAAATAAAACTATTCAACCCGGTGTATCTGGGTTAAAGAACATCTTTCTTTAACCGGGTAGGAAGGTCAACAACAATGGATGAAAGTGCTGCAGAGTGTCCTATCACATACATCCAGGAGGCGGGTTGCAGGTAGTCAAATGCCGGAAAGATACATTGTTTCAGGACCCTCTTAGCTGGTGAACATTCACCGGGAGGATGGCATTTGCAAACAATTTCAATGAAAATTTTAGTTGTAGAGGCTTGGCAAATTCTTCAGACTAGCATGGCAATGCCTTTCGAGAGAAGGCAATTATTTTGAGAAACTGTCATCGTTTGATCTCGATCAAACAGCTGCGAGTGCATTTGCTAGGAGTTCCTTCCCATCAAACGTTCGTCAGTTAGCACTACCTTGTTGCCTCAACAGTTTTGGGGCTGCGGTTGTGGAAGTTGTCCGTCCAAAATATCTTCCACAAGAAATTTGTCCTTGCATCAAGAATTAAAAGCATGCATATCTCCTGGATGTTTTCCCATCGTGCTCTCAGTCGGTTCAAAAACAATATCGTGCCAACGTGGATTTTAGTTTGGTTTGGTTTTCGACTGAACCTGTATGTACATGTACATATTCAGCATGGACAAAGTTGATGTTTGTGTGTTGCAATTTCCATGTCTCCCACGGCACTGATGGTGAACACGACGAGTACATTTCGAAAGTAGAGGGAAATGCGTATCTATTATCAAGTGGCGTCTGCTGAATATGGTACAAGATGGTCTGACATGTCTATCAGAGGAAAGGTATTGGTGGTTAGCCCAGTTCAACAAAATTTCAAATCCAAATTGATGAACCTGGACTGCCCCAAAGAGCGGACAGCGCACACGCATAGGCACAGCTGAGGAGGATATGGTCAATTGGCTCCTCGATCGGACTGGTCGCAGATCGGGCATGGCGCCAAACGCAGCAAAACCCTGTCGCGTCGCGCTTATCTATCAAACGTCCAGCACATGTTCCTAATCGACAGTCACGCAAAGAAGCGACATGATGGTGGAGCTCCCCCGCCGCAGGGGATGCTTCCATGCCCGCAGACAGGGCATTGTACACAGACATAGCGGAGATAACAGAAGTTCAGAGAGTAGAACATATATGAGACAGTTATCATCACTTCGGGCCTCCTCCCAAAATATTATCATAAGCATGATCCATGATCTGTATGATCATAGAAAGAACAATTATACTCTCTCTGTAAAGAATTGTAAGAGCGTTTAGATCACGACTCTATCGTGAGTTCGTGGCCCATATATTCTATGATGCCCAACAGAAATAGCCTTATTTATTCGGGTTGAAAATGCTTGGACAGCTAAGTTAGCCCAAGTTTTATTGAGAACTAAACAAGGCTAAGATGATACATCTGGAAGAATTTAACATGTGACTTCAGATGGAAAGATCTCGATAAACTTTCAGCATAGTTGGCCTTTCTTTGGGTGAAGGAGTTAGGCACTCAAATGCCACGGAGATGCACCGTCTCACTTCTTCCTCCCCAGCTTCGGGTTGTGGAAGTCGTTTGTCCAAAATTTCTTCCAGTAGAAACTGGTCCTCGAGTGAAGAATGAAAAGCCTGCAAATCTCCAGGGTGTTTGCCCATCAACACCTCAAGCACCACAACGCCAAAGCTATATACATCACATTTCTCTGTAACTAGGGAAGTGTAGGAACATTCTGCATCCAGCACAGGAACATAAGAATCAAGAGTATGCATCAGTGCAGAGCATTCCATCTAACACAGTATACTAGAGAATATAGTATTGCATGGAATAAACATACCGGGTGCTATGTAGCCGTAGGTCCCTGCTAGTGCACTCCAGTTTGACGAATCAGGTTTTAACATTCTTGCAATACCGAAGTCCGAGACAAATGCTTTGAAATCAGTATCTAGTAAGATGTTTCTGCTTGTGATGTCTCGATGAATTATGGGTGGGTGAACATCATGATGGAGGTAAGCGATGGCTTGAGCCAGATCTCTTATTAAAGCTGTCCTCCTTTGCCAGTGGAACTGGATTGCTAGTTCTTCATTTCTTAAGGTTGAAGCTAGATTTCCTCTCTGTATAAACTGGCACACAAGGAACCGGAACCGCGGATGAGAACAATATCCATATAGCTTGACGATGCTGCGTTGGCGAATTGTTGTTAACATTTCAATCTCATGCCGGAATCTTTCTTCATCTTGTGCCTCTTCATCGCCTGCATGGAGTTTCTTTACTGCGACCACTTGTTCATCTTGAAGTTTTGCTTCATAAACACTGCCGTATGATCCCTCTCCAATGCAATGTTTCTTATCGAAATTGTCAGTTGCATTGATAATATCTTCAAATGCTATTCTGCCATCAAAGCTCCATACAGAGAATACATCCCTTTTGCTCACATCATCAGTATTTTGAGGTACTTTCTTGCGGCAAATCATAAAGGCTATCACACCTGCTGTTATTGAAATAGTAGCGACAAACATAGTTAGACTGACTGGTAGTATAATCTTTTGGTGCTTTCGCCTATGATCTGCAGGGGGCAAATCACAAGGAGACAGTCCAACAAGGTCTCCACAAAGACCTTTGTTGTGGAGAAACCATTCAGCTGATGCATTCTGGATCCCATTTGGGACAGTGCCTTCAAGGAGGTTATATGCAACATCAAATATTGATAGGCTTTGCATGCTTGCAATGGAGGCAGGGATTGCACCACTGAATTGATTGTGTGAGAAGTTTACATACATCAGCATCTCTAGGTTGCTGAGTTCTGACGGTATTGGTCCGCTGAGACTATTCATGCTAAGATCAAGCATTCTTTGCAGGGAAGCTAAATGGCCCAAACTACCAGGAAGACTTCCACTAAGGCTGTTGTTATTCATATGTAATGACTGCAGTTTCAAACAATTTCCCATCTCTTCTGGCACTTTACCGCTCAACAGGTTGCTTGAGAAATCAAGAATCTCAAGATTGCTAAGTTGGCCGATTTGCTTAGGGATCTGGCCAGATAGTTGATTGTTTCTTAAATCCATCCAATAGAGGTTGCTTAACTTGCCAATTTCCGGTGGTATCTCACTGGTCAACCTATTGAAACTCAGTTTAAGCTTTCCAAGATTTTTCAGCACCCCAACCTCAGAAGGTATACTGCCTTCTATCATATTGTGTGCAAAATTAATACTTGTCAAGTTTTGACATGAGCCCCAATTCGGCGAGAGCTGCCCAACAAATCTATTTGAAGATAAATTGATCGTATCGAGGTGTGGATACACACCAAATGCTTCAGTTATGTTTCCCTCAATATAATTATTGGCGATCATGAGCGATGTTAATGAACTGCAATCCCTCAAGCTTTTTGGGACAGGACCATCTAGATTGTTGTTATGAACTTGTAAAACCTGTAGCTTTTTACTTTGGCACAAATCTGGCAAGTGTCCGATCAGCTGGTTGTCATCCAGTGCAATGACGACTAAATTGGTAAGGTTGGACAGTGCTGGAGGCACAGGGCCGGAGAGCTGGTTGTTGAACAGTCGCATTTGTGTCATCTTGACCAATTTTCCATAACTTGGAGGGATTGAGCCGGACAATTGGTTTTCATAGGACATAAGATACTCCAAATTTAGCAAATTTCCAAACTCGGTCGGCAATTCCCCGGAGATACTATTGTTATGTATTATTAATTGTTTGAGTGAAGACATGTTCCCAATACTTGATGGCACTGATCCAACTATCAAATTGTCCGAGAGGGCAAGGGTTTCCAGATTCACGAGATTCCCAAACTCATGAGGGATGGATCCGGTTATGTGGTTACCAAAAAGAGAAAAATAGGTCACTGAAGTAAGATTTCCAGCAACACTAGAAGGAACAGGGCCGGTCAAATGGTTATCTGACAAGTCCAACCCAATCAAGCTCGAGAGCATCCCAAACTCTGCCGGTATTGGACCAGTGTATTGGTTCCGATATGCTGTCAGGTATGTGAGCACTGTCAGGTTACCAAGGGAGGGCGGAATTGTGCCGCTCAGATTGTTTTTCTCCAAGTGTAGTTCTTGCAGGGTTTGGATGTGTCCTAGTTCTTTAGGTATGGGTCCTGACAGACGATTATCAGAAAGGTCCAGATAGTCGAGGTTGGTCAGGTTTGCAAGGGCGGAAGGTACATGGCCAGAAATGTCATTAAGGCTCAAATCCATCTCTCTCATGTTCTGAAGCTGTTCGAGGTGCCAGGGGATGTTACCCGAGAGCCTATTCCCACGTAGATAAAGAAAACCAAGTCTTGAGAGATTACCTAAAGCAGGAGGGATTTGTCCGGTGAGATTGTTGCTGGAGAGGTCCATCCCTGTGAGCTGTCCAAGGTTGCAGAATGATGCAGGTATGTGCCCGCTGAGCTGATCACCAGAGAAGTTGAGGGTGGAAAGCATGGAAAGAGAGCCGATGCCTGGAGGGATGGCACCGGAGAGATGGTAGTTGTCGCTAAGATCGAGGTTGACAACGTAAGGGAGCGACTGGAATCTCAGTTTGTCCAGTCGCCCTGCAATGCTGGCACCATCAAGGGAAATTCCTGTGATGACCTTCACCATGGTTCCTCTGCTTGACAGAGTGTCCCCGCAGGTGATGCCGGTCCAGTTGCACGGGTACATGCCGTCGTCTCCCCAGGTTCCCAGCTGGTGCTTGGAGGAGTACTTGATGGATGATTTCCAGTGGAGAAGCGCCCCAGCTTGGGATCTTAGCGAAGTGCCGCGGCGTGCTGCTGCTGCAGGCGTGGCGCGGCCCTCGGCTTGCCCGGAATTAAGGAGAGGCAGCAGCAGGAGGAGCAATGCAAGAACTAGGCGATGTAGCAGCGTTGGCACCATGGAATTCGCCATGATCTCACGACGTATTAGGAATATGACTGCATAGGCCAAGTGATCATGTAAACTGAAGTTGTCCCACAAGTCTAGCAGCAAGACACACACAGGCGAAAAAATATGGTCAAGGAGATAGAGAGAATAAGCGCACCTCTTGCGTCTGAGAGCAGAACGCCGAAGCCCGGTGATGGTGGTGTGTGAGTTGGGTACTCCTACTCATCTGGTTCGGTTCTCCAGGGGTTTATAAACACATTTAAAGCAGCCTAACACTCCTACCCACTTGCTTCTCACCTGCAACGAAGACCTTGGCTGAGTCCAATCTGGCTGGCATAATTTTCTGCCATTGATGCGGTCTAAGCTTTTCGGTTTCAGATAATTGTGCATGCTTTCAGTCCGCTCAAAAGAAGAATAGAATATCAATGCTTGTCATGTGGACGTTGATTATTGCTTGGTTTTCCATGCGTCAACAGGAAGTGAACTTAATTGCATAGTTGACTGTATTCGACATGGACAGTGTTGACATTTGTGTGTGCAAATGACATACATCTTCAACGGCTAGCTACGCTGATGGTGAATGCAGTTAATGCAGTTCAAATGGAGGAAATGACATTCAGACGTGACACTCGTTTGGAATATGGTAGAGGATGGTCTGAACTCTGAAACGATTTTCAGAGGTAGTGATTGCGGCTCCTCCTTTTCAGCCTGTGACTTGGGGCATCTCCAACAATCTATTACTACTATGACCGTCACTAAGGGGGAGCAAGCAAACCCCATTCAAAGTAACAGCTTCCCCAACAGTCGGTCTCTCTATCTTGTCACCAAGACAAACGCCACCAACATCTGCATATATGATTGATTTGTGGGAACCTACAATCTACTTTAACTTTGTGGCCTATACTGTTTTGTTAGAACTCAATGCATTCCCATCCCGTCAGCAAGAATCCTCGCCTGACATCCACCAAAAGAATTTAGGAACTCCCCTGAATGTTCCTAATCTAGGAGTTGCCAAAGTACTAGTACTAACCGAATGTCCACTGACCACTGAACTTTCAGTAAGCAGAACTGAAAAGACTCACCCAGATGGTCATAGATGAAATTGGCCGCTGGAATCTCTCGAACCTTCTGCGGAAACCAATCTGGTGTGAGGAGAAGACCACCTAGCGGCGGAAGTGCAGCCGCCAGTGCCGTCGATGAGCAGCAGCAGAGGAGCGCCCCCTCCTCCCACTGAGGCCGCGCCCATCCTGTACCATCGCAACGCCTAGTCTCTCCTTGCGGCGAGCCATCTCCAAACGCGCGGATCTTGGAGGCAGGTGGAGTGGGGCGAGGACGTCGTTGTAGCGGGGAAGACGGACGGCGACAGGCCGGAACATGGAGGAACAGGCGGCGGGATGGGGAAGGAGGTCAGGGGAAAGTGACCCGATTAAAAGCGGTTGGCGGGCCCTGTTGACGATTTACTTTTATTTTTACTTCCTCCGTTTTTATTTATACTCTGCCTATTAGGTTTGACTGAAGTTAAACTTCATAAAATTTGACCAAATTCATAAAAAAAATATGAAACTAATGATATTGATTTGTTATTGTATATGTTAATATTTCTGTCTCTAAACTAATGATATTGATTTGTTATTGTATATGTTAATATTTCTGTCCCTAAACTAATGGTATTGATTTGTTATTGTATATGTTAATATTTCTGTCTATAAACTTTGTCAAAGTTTACAAAGTTCGACTTTGACCAAAACTGATATGCAGAGTAAATAGAAACTAAGGGAATACTAGTAACATGCCCGTGCATCGCAAGGGAAGGAAACAAAATCACGCCTCATACACAAACTCGATGAGATCAGCAAATTCCTCGAAACCTTTCATGATGTTGTACAATAAATAACATGATAAATGGTGTTGCGCCAAGACATAAAAGGTGGGACGATTCTTTAAGTATACTAAGATGTGTCACAAGCATTATTTTTTATTGTTGGTATATGCGTTTGCAACTGTTATCCGAGCTAGGACTTAATTTGGTTGCAAACATATTATACATCTTCATAAAAAAACAATCAATTTGTGAGGACATACATAATGAATGTTCACGGTTGCATATCAACTTGATATTCTTAGAAAAATCTTTATGGGCAGAATTTCAAATAATATGAAAACCAACATTAAACCATTAGCTACGTAAAGCTTGTATCAACAATTTAGTGTAGATCATCGCATATAGGTTGGTTATTATGCACTTGGTGAAATAGAATTATGTGCATGTTATGATCTTTAGCATATGGTAGGTGGTAGGAATGAAAATCGCCCATGAGGAAATAATAGCTTTAATAAGAGCATCAATCTTGTCATTTAAAATGGGTAGGAAATACATATAATATTAATTAAGCGTGCAACATAAACATAATTTTCAAAATGGTTAACATGCAAGATAATATCATATTTAGAATCTACATATTTTTCTGAGCGATTTTCATATATAACATACTAAATTTGGAAGGGTTTGAAAGATATAATATTTTTTTAAAAAAATACTTGAATCTGCAAAAAACAAATTTTGAAAAAAGCAGCCGGGCCGACATTGCACTGTGTAGCCCATCTGCTACGCGACACACGGCGAGGTAGCTCTATATTACGCCTATTAAAATTGGGGGAGAAAAGGCAGAAAAGGGGGAGGAACCTGTTGGGGAACGTAGTAATTTCAAAAAAATTCCTACGCACACGCAAGATCATGGTGATGGCATAGCAATGAGAGGGGATAGTGTTGTCTACGTACCCTCGTAGACCGTCAAGCGGAAGCGTTATGACAACGCGGTTGATGTAGTTGTACGTCTTCACGATTCGACCGATCCAAGCACGGAACATACGGCACCTCCGTGTTCAGCACACGTCCAGCTCGATGACGTCCCCCGGGCTCCAATCCTGCGAAGCGTCGGGGATGAGTTCCGTCAACACGACGGCGTGGTGACGATGATGATGTTCTACCGGCGCAGGGCTTCGCCTAAACTCCGTGACGATATGACTGAGGTGGAATATGGTGGAGGGGGGCACCGCAAACGGCTAAGGAACGATCCGTAGATCAACTTGTGTCTCTATGGGGTGCCCCCCGCCCCCGTATATAAAGGAGCAAGGGGGAGGCCGGCCGGCCCCTTGGGGCGCGCCAAGGAGGAGGAATCCTCCTCCTAGTAGGAGTAGGACTCCTCCTTTCCTACTCCTACTAGGAGGGGGAAGGAAGGGGGAGAGGGGGGAAGGAAAGGGGGGCGCCGCCCCCCTCCTAGTACAATTCGGACCAGAGGGAGAGGGGGCACGCGGCCCACCCTGGCCGCCCCTCTCTCTTTCCACCAAGGCCCATGTGGTCCATTAACTCTCCCGGGGGGTTCCGGTAACCCCCCCGGCACTCCGGTTTTCTCCAAAATCACCCGAAACAATTCCTGTGTCCGAATATAGTCGTCCAATATATCAATCTTTATGTCTCGACCATTTCGAGACTCCTCGTCATGTCCGTGATATCCGGGACTCCGAACAAACTTCGGTACATCAAAACTTATAAACTCATAATAAAACTGTCATCGTAACGTTAAGCGTGCGGACCCTACAGGTTCGAGAACTATGTAGACATGACCAATAGTGGAACCTGGATGTTCATATTGGTTCCTACATATTCTACGAAGATCTTTATCGGTCAAACCGCATAACAACATACGTTGTTCCCTTTGTCATCGGTATGTTACTTGCCCGAGATTCGATCGTCGGTATCCAATACCTAGTTCAATCTCGTTACCGGGAAGTCTCTTTACTCGTTCCGTAATACATCATTTCATAACTAACTCATTAGTTACAATGCTTGCAAGGCTTAGGTGATGAGTATTACCGAGAAGGCCCAGAGATACCTCTCCGACAATCGGAGTGACAAAACCTAATCTCGAATTATGCCAACTCAACATGTACCTTTGGAGACACCTGTAGAGCACCTTTATAATCACCCAGTTACGTTGTGACGTTTGGTAGCACACAAAGTGTTCCTCCAGTAAACGGGAGTTGCACAATCTCATAGTTGCAGGAACTTTGTATAAGTCATGAAGAAAGCAATAGCAACATACTAAACGATCAAGTGCTAAGCTAACGGAATGGGTCAAGTCAATCACATCATTCTCCTAATGATGTGATCCCATTAATCAAATGACAACACATGCCTATGGTTAGGAAACATAACCATCTTTGATCAATGAGCTAGTCAAGTAGAGGCATACTAGTGACACTATGTTTGTCTATGTATTCACACATGTATCATGTTTCCGGTTAATACAATTCTAGCATGAATAATAAACATTTATCATGATATGAGGAAATGAATAATAACTTTATTATTGCCTCTAGGGCATATTTCCTTCAGTCTCCCACTTGCACTAGAGTCAATCATCTAGATTACATAGTAATGATTCTAACACCCATGGAGTCTTGGTGCTGATCATGTTTTGCTCGTGAGAGAGGCTTAGTCAACGAGTCTGCAACATTCAGATCTGTATGTATCTTGCAAATCTCTATGTCTCCCACTTGGACTTGGTCCCGAATGGAATTGAAGCGTCTCTTGATGTGCTTGGTCCTCTTGTGAAATCTGGATTCCTTTGCCAAGGCAATTGCACCAGTATTGTCACAAAAGATCTTCATTGGTCCCGATGCACTAGGTACAACACCTAGATCAAAAATGAACTCCTTCATCCATACTCCTTCATTTGCTGCTTCTGAAGCAGCTATGTACTCCGCTTCACATGTAGATCCTGCCATGACGCTTTGTTTAGAACTGCACCAACTTACAGCTCCACCGTTTAATAAAAATATGTATCCGGTTTGCGATTTAGAATCGTCCGGATCAGTGTCAAAGCTTGCATCGACGTAACCATTTACGACTAGCTCTTTGTCACCTCCATATACAAGAAACATATCCTTAGTCCTTTTCAGGTATTTCAGGATGTTCTTGACCGCTGTCTAGTGACCCACTCCTGGATTACTTTGGTACCTCC